TGAACCGCTGGAGCACGGCACCTTTGGCTCATCTGTTGGGCAAGGAAATCAAGGTGAACAAAGCTTGAGGCCATCAGTCTGATTTGGTGACACAGGCATCGAGGTTTGCTAAGAAATGGGATTCAACTAGTTTTAAGAGAGAGAAGGAAAAAAAAAAAAAAAAAGAAAGAGAAATCTCAAACTCTGCACCTCTCCACTCAGTGTCCTCTTATGGTCTCCTTACCATGTCTCAAAGCCTGGCTTCACTGCTAATGCCCTTTAAAAGCCATAACTGACCCAGGCCAGGATGCCGCAGGCTCCTCGTGACCTTCGCTCGGTCTCTGGATGTCGAGAACCAGCCTGGAGAGGCCACGTGCCTCCATGCTCCCCATTGCCTCCATCCTCCTTCCCAGGCCAAGCCGGGCACAACCCACAGCCCGGGTGTTGTCCCAGGTGCCGGCACCGAGGCCAATCCTCGCACACCAGGGATGGGAAGGGGTTGGGAGCTGGGGGTACATCAGGCTGAAGCCAAAGGGGACGGGATGGAGGGGAGCGCGAAGGGCTGCGACGAGGCCACGCATCTCGATGCCGCCGGCTCCATCACTGCCCTCCCTCGGGCTCCGGGCGGGATGCCTGGACCGGTCGCACCCGTTTTTGCAGGGCCGCTGTCCCTGCATCAAAGGGAGAGTTCACCCAGCAGAGCCAGGCGGGATAAGGAGCTGCCAGGAGCAGGCAGGAGGATTTCAAGAGACCCTTTGCAACAGGCTGGAGGAGAGAGCGCGAGCTCTGCCGCTGTCCTGCTCACGCTTGCACTTTTGGGACTACGAGAGGGCACCAAAAGCGACGTGGCTGTCCCCTCCCCATGGCGAGGACGGGCTGGGGTGGCCACAAGCTCCTCTCCCACGGCCCGAGATCCTTCCTCTCCCTGCAGCTCCCTCCATCCGGAGCACAAGACTGGGATGATTTCACATCGGTATTTTTGGCAATCTATTTTTACGAGCTTGCTGCAGCCCATGCAAATAATTAAAGGCCCCAAATAAACGCTACGTGGTAAGGACCAGAGGAAACATCTTGTGCTCCCTGCATTTAACCCCCCAGCAAGGAACAGGCCTCACAAAGGGGCCCTGCAAAGTGTCACCAAGCAATAAAACACAGTGCGACAGGGCGAGCAGGCGGCTCGTATGGAGAGTAGCACAGAGAGGAGCGACGAGCTCTCCCGGGGCAGGGCTTAGCCTGGGCTCACCTCCCGGCGGCCGGATCTCTCCTGGCACAACCCGGAGCATCCCCACGCCACCCTCGCGCTGTCGAGAAAGCGGTGCAGAACACCTGCAAACGGTTCCTTTCCACCTCTCCTTTTCTTCGCTGCATGCTGCCCCGCATGGAGACGGGGCAGGTCACGGGCAGCTCAGTCGCAGAGCTAAAGTGAAAAGCAGGGCCTTCCCCATGCCCTGCGAATGCGGGCGCATGCCCAGAGTGACACGGCCGTGGGGCTGGCTGCAGCCTCGCACTGTCCACGCTGGCCCCGTGCAGGACGCCGTGCAGCGATGCCCGGAGCGTTTCGCGCAGCCATCGCTTGTGCTCAGCATCCCGCTTCCGCGAGGACGAGGGCAGCACATGCCAGCGCCCCACGCGTCCCGCTCTAGGCAGGGAGGAGCGGGATTCCCAGTCCTGGGCACCCCGTGGCAGGAAGCAGGGGCCAAAGGACCAGCGGTATTAGCAGCCCCTCTCCGGAGCAGCCTCTGCAGCCCCGGTGCGGACGGCTGCTCCCACCAGCGCAGCTCCCCGCATCCTTCCTGCCCCAGCGAGCCGGAACGTGCTCGGCTGCGCCGTGCTCCGGACGGACACCCGGCCAACGCTGCTGCCTCCCGCCCGACTGCTGCCAGCTCGGAGGCCCCGGCCGGGCAGAAGGGCCATTTGGGTGGGCAGCAGCAGCCCGGGGAGGGGGCACAGGCCGCTGGGCCCCTGCAGCCCTTGTTCCTGGAGT